TACCTCCATATCAATACGACCGTCTGCCTGAAAATCTGGTAATTTCCCTCTCACTTTACGATTAAACAAGAATTCAGCTGGACTTCTCCCTGTAGTATGGTGGTCAATGCCACGGTATTTCGTCACATACTTCCTGAGTTCCCTTTTCCAGTCTAACCCTTCTGCCTGAGCGATACGAATTCTCTTCATCAGCGACTTATTCTGGCGTTCTACCTCGCCATTTGCTTGCGCCCATTTTGCAGTAACCTTGAGGGCCGTGATCCCATTTTGATCACAATACTCCAGGAACTCTTCAGAACGAAACTGTGGTCCGTTATCTGACTTGATAGTGATAGGGAGTCCATGACGACTGAATATCTCCTCCAAACTATCGATTATCTTTACAGCCAGGGTAGAGTTTAGGATATCGTATTCATAGAACCGACTATAGTAGTCAACTACGACAAGTATCGAATGTCCCGATGGAAATGGTCCCAGCAAGTCGATAGCGACATCCTGCCAGGGTCCATCCGGTAGCGTTGTTTGTCCTAGCGGTTCGTCTGGATGCGCAACCAACTGACAACCATGACACGATCTACAATACTTCTCGGCAGCTCTATCCATGCCTGGCCACCACACTTTGCTCTGACACTTAGATTCTGTTTCGTCCCGACCACACCTAAATGCCCTTCGTGTGCCAAAGCTAGCGCTTGTGGTCGTAACTTACTTGGTAATACAATACGAGTACCTCGTAGCACCAACTGTCCAATCACGCATAATTCTGCCACTATTGGTGCAAACGCTTTGCATTTCTCAAATCGACCCGTCTTTATTGCTTCTCGTAATACGATTAGTTCGTCGTCAGCTGCGGACATTTGTTCTACCTCACGTGTAGTTAACGCTCTTGGTGTCGCATTGCTGGCAACAAACCGCACATATTCCTCTGCACCATGTACATGCCCTGGTGCACTGGCCTTACCACTTAGAAGGCGTGACAATGAATCTGCTATATTCTTTGGTCCTGGTACATACACTACTTTGAACGTATACGGTTGGAGACGTATCACCCATCTTTCAATTCGAGCACACGGCTGGGAACGCGGGCTGTAGATAGCCTTAGATAGATGTAGATAGAAGTTGAATGGTACATCCTTACGAGTCAGTTTCCTCAGTGGCTCAGAAATGGTCGCGAACTGCGGTATAAACTTGCCACTATAACACGCTAGACCTAAAAAGCTTCGCACCTCTGATGCACTCGCTGGCTTTCGCGCTTCTATCACAGCTTTTACCCTGTCCTCAGTAGGCCCTGTACCCTTCTCGGATAGTAGTATCCCCATAAATACAAGCTGATCCATATTAAATTGACATTTGTCAGGATTCAATTTTAGTCCGCTGGACTGCTGTATGAACAATAAAATATTACATATATAGTATATAGCCGTAGAGCGGGTAGTGACCCCCCCCCCTTTATTTCGGCGTTATTGACGCGTCGCTATTGCCACGACCTTGCATTATTCCATTATCGTGAGAATCCGCGAGAACAACGGCTACACGAGAACAGAACAACGCTGTGCTAAGAATAATATAGAAATTATATGACGTTATAACCTCATAAATATTAGTCTGCAAAGTCCAAGGGACTATGTCGAAGACGGAAAGATACGGAAGTTGATCAAATAGACAGATCAACACTGCGGATTGCCGTAGAAAAAGCCTCAAATTTGCAATTAACTAAAGGGAAAGGGAGAGAATTCCAATACGGAATAAAGGAAACAAAGAAGCTAAACTTAAAGGAATCATTTGAAGATGGCACGTGACGAAATCATTGATCACGCTCAGATGATCGAGTAAATAACATCGATGATCGAGTAAATAACATCGATGGTCGAGTTATATCATAATCCTTGAGTAAAATACGTAGATGTAACGCTTTATTCTATTCTCAGACGCGGTACATAAATTAATAACTAAATTACTATGACATATTATACATATGAATAAAATATTGTGATAAATTTTAAGTAAATTAGTAGCATATGTTGTCGATGTACAGTTATGGCGCGAGGCACAACTGTTTCGTTCTGTGTTGTCTACATAGCTTCCTGATCATTTGGTCGGTTTCGCTTGCAAGTCGCATGTCCACCATCCTAACGAAACAGAAGAGTACACCTACCTCGCCAAAGACTACGACGGAAAATACTCAATCATATTACCAGGTATGCCGTACGTGTGGTATGACGTAGTGTTGTGCATATTTCAATAACATATCACGAGTAAGCACAAGGGTAAACAAAATCAGTGTTTAGGTATATGGAAAATGATTGAGGAAGTAAGATACATCATGATTCATCCATGCATGCATTCATTTATTCATTCGTTTATTCATTCGATCGTTCGTTCGTTCGTTCGTTCGTTCGTTCGTTCGTTCGTTCGTTCGTTCGTTCGTTCGTTCGTTCGTTCGTTCGTTCGTTCGTTCGTTCGTTTATTTATTCATTCATTCATTTACTAGTTTGTTGTATTCATTTTCTGCCCCACAGCTCCCATGCTCTTGCATCGTGACTGGTTCACGCTTTTCAACCGTCTGCCTGCATCTGTCTACGACATGATGGACAAGTACAACAACTGTGACGACATCGTCATGAACGTTGCCGTTAGCAACGCGACGCAGCATCCGGGCGTCTGCCTTATTGCGCGACATCAGGAGTATGCGAAGATCGACAGTAGAGCCCGGCAGTTCAAGGGCCAGAAGAGCAAGAACACTCACATACTCTACAGGACACGGTGTCTGAACGAACTCAGCGCCATCTATGGCTACATGCCGCTACGATACAACAACAATTACGTCACGACTCTATTGAGGACAAAATCGTGAAAGGAGGCGTGTCCGGAATCGCACAACTCCGATAACTGTTGAGTCGCATTGCCTGTAAAGGAAGAAATATGGGTTATAGACTTTATAGTAAGTGCCAACAGGGAAGTCCCTTCTCTAAGTAGCTTCCCCTCTTTAGTCCCATCGTATCGATTGTCTCGTGTTGATTGTTTTAGCTAAAATGTCTGTGCCACACTCAAATATCAGGGGCAGTGCATTGTAGACACCGAACTATTCCGCCAGATTGGTCACTTGCTTTTAGATGAGGCAATCAAATGCCTTAGCAGTTTTTCATTCAGCTACTGGTTGCTGCACAAGCACGCAATCAGTAATGATTTACGTCAGACCACCTCGCCGAGGAGAGAAGGCTTCTAGCTGGTTTGATGATATTACAGCACGCCACTAACGTCACACACTGTCGGCTTCTTCATTTCTGTCCACACGTAGGTGTCCTGAAATGCGCACGGTAACTAAGTTACTATACTATTCTTTGCTCGTGTCACTGCATTTCATGATGCCTTGTGCGGCATTCTCTGGCATAGCTGATTTGATAAAGAAGAAACTTGAAAGATTCAGTACCTGCAAACCTAAATGGGTTGTACGCATAATTATAAACATAATTATTGATTGATTTAATTAATTATTTATATTTTTTATTAAAAATGGGAAGAATTTGTCGCTCTTGCCGAATAATAGCAGATTTTGTGGGTTTATATTGATGTTTTTTACTTGCTTGGGAAATGCTATTTTATACTATTCCGGTTGAAGAATAGATGGTTGTTCTAGGGATGCAAGGTGTAAAAGTCAGTTACCCTCCTGTGATGCATTAATAGTCGTGCATGATGCATGGATGAGAAGTATACTGTAACAATTTTATGGTCTTAAGAAATATACGAGTTTTAATTCCTGCATATTAATTGTTACAGATATTATCAAACTTGTCTACCAATCAGAGGGTTTCAATGTCACAGACGTGGCAGGGTCCCGTTGTCAGAAACAAATCAGTCTTGATATTAGTCTTAACATGATCTCTTTCTCGTAAACCTCTATACGCTGCATAGGAGAAACTCGTAACTTCAACCTGTTTCTGTCAACGGTTTATGACAGGGCAAATGTTTAGACTAATTTTGCTTCTGACGACGGGCCCCAGGTCTGTAAGCAGTGGCAAGCTAAAGCTGAGAAGCTCCTACGAGCCGGATCAGCGCTGAAGAACCATATATATCAGGAGTAGATAATAGGGTTAGGGTTAGGGTTATTATAGGGTTATTATAGGGTTATTATAATAGTCCCTATTATCTACTCCTGATATATATACTGCGAGTCCACTATTAAGCCATGGTTTGGTGTAACGGTCAAGTGGCCAGTTCACCGCCACCATCAGCAGTGATTTACGGATGGGGGCGGGGCAGAAAGATGGTAAGCTGTTCGAAAAATGACGTCACACCAGCACCAAAATCAATGTCAGAACTGATTTTATGTGTATATGAAGTCCCGGTGGGTGCAAGGCAAGAAACTGCTCTGGTAGAAACTCAGACGACATGGTCTGAATAGAAGTGTGTTTCTGTGCAACCGGTTCACAGCAATTCACATGCACCATGCGCATGATCTGCTCGCAGTTCATGCGCAATCATTATGTGCGTGTGACAATGATCTTTTATTATTATGTGTTACGTTTCTATCGATGATACCGCGTGAATCGTACTTGGAGAGATACGGCATTATCGCGTATCCCAGCATGCCGGATTGAAACGTCATTTCCTACCTGCGACCAATATGGCAATATGGCAAGTGTTTTTGTTAGGTTGACAAAGCTTAACAAAATGCCAAAAGAAATCAAATCTACAAAATCTAAAGTGAGAGTTATCACTGTGAGACCACGCAGAGTTATTCTGTGAGGCCACACCAGCTCAAACAAGACGCGCAGGGCTGAAAATAACACAATTCCGACCTCATGTATCGTGGAGCTACCGTCCCCGTAAAAAAACAACAATTACTCTTAGATTCCATTATTCTACTAATCTTTTTCTATCAATCTACAACTTCTTATGTGATCCTAAGCATTATTTATGTGTCCATCAGGAACGTTTTTATAATAATAAAAAAGCTGCCATGATGACCGCGGAATACTTCAGCCAAAAGATGCCGCTTGTGATAATGCCTGACAATAACTAAATACATTTATCGAAACACAGACGCCACGCAAAAGAACAAGCAACTTAACGTCAACGCTATAGCCGCGAATGTAGGCGCTACATCCCTGCCTAACAACGTACTTTCCAATGGAGCGCTCTATACTAAGCACGTAGGCCTACTCGAAGCGTATTCGTTCATAAAGCTAAAGTCACACTGGGGCCGGACTGTCCACGGATTACCGCGGATGGGGCAGGATCTCCCCGGACCGTAAAATTTATAATCCGTGGCGATCCGGGTCGAAAAAAAGCATCATCGGGCCGGATCGGGCCGGACCAGCACGGCAGCGCCACGGACCATCCTGGATTGAGCCCGGATGAAGCCGGCCCCAGCACGGAGTCACTACGGACCGCCCCGGACCGCCCCGGACCGCCACGGACCTGATCCGGCCTGGTCCGGCCCCGTCCTGGCCCATCCGTGCTTCCATCCGTGTTGGGTCCGGCTTGATCCGTAGTGATCCGTGGCCGACAAAAACGACACGGATGGCCACGGATGGGCCCGGTTCAACACGGTGCCACTACGGACTGTCCCGGACCTACCACGGTAGCGCCACGGACCGTCCAGGACCACCCCGGATGGTGAAAACTTCCCGGACGGTCCCGGATCACCCCGGCAATTTTAAACAGTTTAAAACATCCGGGGCGATATCCCGGAATGCGCCGGACCATCAAGGACCACCTCGGACCGGGCCGGACCGTCCAGGACCGTCCAGGACCCAACAAGGATCTCTCCCCGGATCAGTCCGGCAGCGTCCGGCCCGGTCCGGGAGCTTGGTGTGACTTTAGCTTAACGTTAACGCTAACGCGCTCGAACAGTTTTTATCAATAATCAGCTAGCCGTGACAGGGAATTGCGTCTGCTCTTGCGTCATATTTGTTTTAGATTAGTTCCACGCCACGTACGATGGCAGGATAGAGTGACGATGCAGAAATTGTTGTGTAGTACCCAGGAGTAGTGTGCAGGTGTCACGTCACCGTTAGTGATATACCCAGGTGTAACATCACCGTTAGTGATATACCCAGCTGTAACAGCTTCGTGTCTATAGTGGGATCGCAGCAACGATCGGGAGTAAATAAAAAGGATATAGGGAACGCATATAATAAGGTGAGGAGGCACATGCCGCTCTACTTGGTGAACGTGTGCGTGCGTTCGCTGCGTGCGTGCGTGCGGGGGTAACAAGTGTGTGTGCGGGCTCGCGTACGGAAGACACCGCGCACAGAGACATCTAGAAGTTCCTCTAGCGATCCGTCCTGCCTCTCGTCTGCTAACATGTCTCTCAGTCGGACCCGGTCTCTCTCCACTCTCGCCTTCCTTGCCGTCGGCAGTCTAGTCCTGCTCGTGATGATACGACAGTACGATGCTAGGCTCCCGTCGGCCGGGAGGTTGGTGGAGACGACAGTGTCGCATGACAGAGGTCGGCAGACGACGCGGCCGCCGCTTCCTCCGTCGGAGCTCGATGCGGCAAACTTTACAGTGATAATAATGACGTACAAGCGCAACGATTTGTTGGTGGAGGTACTAAAGAATTACGCGACGATGGATTCGGTGGATAGGGTGATCTTACTGTGGAATAACATCGGTGAGCTTTAGAACCATAGACCCGTGTGTTTTACATATAGTAGCGGCTGTGACGAAAGTGGAAGAGGCAGAAGATAGCAAGAAAGAAGGAGGGAGAAAGAAAGAGAGCGAAAAAGAAGGCGAGAGAGGGAGAGAGAGAGAGAGAGAGAGAGAGAGAGAGAGAGAGAGAGAGAGAGAGTGGAAGAGAGCAGAACGAAACATAGAGATGGGGTAGATGAATAAAGAGGAAGGCTGGAAAACCATCCTATAACTCTCGCTGCCCCTTGCTTTTTGCCTCGCGCTTCAATTTCTTCTCTTTCTAATCTCTCTCTCTCGCTCTAATCTCTTTCTATCTCCTCTCTCTCTCTTTCGTTCCATCGCTCTCTCCTCTCTTCTCCTGTCTACTTTCCTTGCTCTCCCTCTCGCGGCCCTCTTCTCCCTTCTCTCTGCTCTATCTTCTCGTGGTGGACTACGCAACACAGATATTCACACTCTCTGGTAAATAATTATTTTCGACTAGCAGGACAGAAGGCGGTGCCGCTGTTCCCTACAGCTATTCATAGAAACGCCGGTACAGCGACTCATCGTCAACAAACACAAATTAACGTCCTCAGCAATAGACTGAGACCTGTCGACCAAGACCTGATGACCGATGTGATGTATGTGTGTGTGTGTGCGCGCGTGCGTGTTTGTTTTGTGTGCTGTGTGTGTGTGTTTGCTGTGTGTTGTGTGTCGTGTGTGTGTTTCGTGTGTGTGTGTTGTGTGGTCGTCGTGTGGTGTGTGTGTGCTGTGCGCGTGCGTGTTTGTTTGTGTGTGTGTGCGATGTTTGATTCTGTTTTTGTGTGTCGTTTGTGTGTGCTGTGTGTGTGTGTGTGTGTGCGTGTGACGTGCCGTGCGTGTTTGTGTGTGTGTGTGTTTGTGTGGTGTGTGTGTGTGTGTGTGCTGTGTGCAGCTGTGCTGTGTGCTGTGTTGTGTGGTGTGTGGTGTCGCTGTGTGTGTATGTGTGTGTGTGTGTGTGTCGGTGTGTGGTGTGGTTGTGTGTGTGTGATGTGTGTGGTGTGTGTGTGTGTGTGTGTGTGTGTTGGTGTGTCTAGTGTGTGTGTGTGGTGTGTGTGGTGTTGTGTGTGTGTATGTGTGTGTGTGTCTGGTTGTGGGTGTGTGGTGTGTGCTGTGTGTGTGTTGTGTGTGTGATGTGTGTGTCGTGTGTGTGTGGGTGATGTGGGTGTAGTGTGTGTGTGATGTGTGTTGTGGTGTTGTGGTGTGTGGCGGGTGTGTGCGCTGTGTGTGTGCGTGTGTGCGTGAGTGCGATGGTGCTGGATGTACAATGATCTTTCTCGATTATGCATGGGAAAAGCGATGTCAGTTAAATGTTTAAGGTATAGCATTCGAGTTCATGTTTATTGAATAATATACGTTTACCTAGAGCTAATGTGAGCAATTCTCCCCGTTTTCGTGGTATCGTGTCACAGCGGCCCTAGTAACGGTATGGTTTAGCCACACCTGATTGCACACATGGCAAAACAATTATTGCCTCTTTACGAGGAAAACATGGAGTTTTTTGGAGAGAAAATTAGCACTGAGAAAATTAATGAAACTCGAGACGGGACATCGAAGGTAGCATTGATTTCTGACGTCCCGTGCGCGACGTGGGTTTGACGGATGACTATTTACACCCATTTTAACGTTTTTTTTACATGTTCACATGTATCACAAGTTTTGATTTCTGTGTTCGCGATTATATTTCTCGTCGAAATACAAGGTGATGATATGCTTCTTTATCTCCTAGAGCTTACGACCCCTGCTATATATAACACCAGAGGTTAATAACGACAAATGTCAAAAAATTATGTTAAAAATAATGAGAAATTTGTCATTATTAACCCCTGATAACACGTATAGAGCAGCGTCCGTCACCGTTTCGCTTCTCACCTGCGCTCACTGTATTTCTATACCCGTCTAGACGTGATTATATGCGACGATGACACAATCATCAGTGAGAGCGAACTGGTTCGTGCCCACACGCTGTGGAGATCGGTAAGTGGTCAGCAGTGGTTACGGATGAGTACATCATACGAATGGAGCTCCTGTGCGCGGCTCCAGGGTCCTATGAGTGGTGAACGTGTAGATGGCGTCCATAGGCAGGTATTAAAGGTATTAAAAATACTCACACTGTTACTTCGCTTACACACCATACACTTTATTCATGTTAAATAACTACAGATTCATGCTCTATGCTCCGCTCGAAACTTTTGCCAGCTCTATGATGCGAATTTCTACAAACTTGTCAAAAAAGGAATTTTCTAGAGACGAAATAGTGCAACTTATTGCGGAAGCTTACTGTTGTACGCCACCTATATACCTACACTTCAAGAGCGTATAAAGAAGGAGAGCGTACAACGGTAAAATGCTGAAACCATGTTGCAGTATTAGTCGAATTAATAAACTTTTTCCGTTTTATTTTGACGATTCTTTGCAGTATTATTGATCAGGTGTCCTACCTTGTTCATAATTATTGATCAGGTGTCCTACCTTGTTCATATAAAACAAACCGCATGTCCCTACGATGCCCATACGCTGAGATAATGAGCGGTGAAAATCTGGTATTTTCGCTGAACACCGACTAGACATTAGTCAGTACTGCATCACTCTCTCGAAGTGTTATAACTTCGGTAAACCTCGCGTGTTTCCGTCAAAGATTGACAAATGGAATGAATGACGTCTGTTATTGATTGCCATAGTGATGACCCCCACCTGTGCCCACCTCACACTGGATGTATAGTAAACTCTGGTAGTATTACGTGAGTCAGCGCCACTATGGCGCTACACAGCGGCGACTGGAAGCAACAAACTGGAAACACTTCGAGAGAGTGATGCAGTACTGACTAATGTCTAGTCGGTGTTCAGCGAAAATACCAGATTTTCACCGCTCATTATCTCAGCGTATGGGCATCGTAGGGACATGCGGTTTCTTTTATATGAACAAGGTAGGACAGCTGATCAATAATACTGCAAAGAATCGTCAAAATAAAACGGAAAAAGTTTATTAATTCGACTAATACTGCAAGATGGTTTCAGCATTTTACCGTTGTACGCTCTCCTTCTTTATACGCTCTTGATATTATACATGTATGTGTGTTTGTGTGTGTATGCGTGCGTGCGTGTGCGTGCGCGTGTGTATAGATATAGAGATTCACGTTAGTGAGTCTCAAGTTTTTGTAGGCACAAAGCTCGCTTTCGCATCTCATTTGCCTCGCCCCCCCCCCACCACCACCGTGCGCCCTTTACAGACAGGTGTTCACCGGCAATGCAGGTACATACCTCGCGCCTCGTACATACCTCGCGCCTCGTACATACCTCGCGCCTCGTACATACCTCGCGCCTCGTACATACCTCGCGCCTCGTACATACCTCGCGCCTCCCTCGTACGTGACCGCACACGTGTGCTGCGGGGCGACGGCTCGCCATGTCCGTGCCGTCTCGACGACGTGCGACGCGTCCATCACGCCGAACCCGTATCGCGTGTGGCTGTGCCGCCCGGCACCGTTCTCCCACCATCCTCCACCGTCGTCGTCGTCGTCGGGACTGGGAATGCGTGCCGTTGCCACGACGATGTGCTGCACGTCACGCCACGTGAGGTCGGGGCTGCGGCGGAGTGAGAAATTGTTGTTGTTTTTTTAATTGTTTTTTTATTGCCCCTGTGAGTGTGAGTTAGGATATTATGTGTGATCGCAGTATTAATTGAGTATATGATTAAAGTTGACTCGCTAGGGCAAGAAAAGTAGCAGCATCACGCAGACCCTGGCAACGCACTATATATGGAACATCTTCCTCAAGTGCTTCATTTTCGTTATTTTGATATCAGTATTTAGGTTAGGGTAATATTGCGAAGGCACGTATATGAAACAATTAGACTAAGACTACACGAATATACACGTGTTTATAACGTTATGTGAAATACTTAGGTCAAAACTCCAGGGGAGTCGCAAAACATAAGCTGCTCAGATGCAAGCAAGGTGGTTTGACCTCTTTTCACATCTTTCGTTCAATTTGTGCTATTTTAGATACGGGCGAGTGTACATGAGTCAATTGGCTGGGCTTAGCAGAACAACACGACACGCTGTATGCTCCAAACCACTCCAAACTGGTATGAATTTCATCCGGATAACCATCCAATAACATAACATTTACTGAAGCAAGGTTGCAAAAGTTAAAACACGTTATAATGTCTCTGACCCGAATGTTACTCCCTAGGTATTTATCTGCGAGGTTGTTGCTCCTTGTGAAGTATTACATACTTTGACTGAAGCGCTAGTGCGACGATGCCAGCAGCCAGCGGTGCAGCGCTTGACGTTCCCTGAAAGTCCTTTGTGCAGCCGTGGTTCAGATCTGTCGTCACCTGCAAACACGTGTGACAACCGACATGTCGCACGCACGCACGCACGCACGCACGCACGCACGCACGCACGCACGCACGTCACCGCGACCCTGCCACCGCATCCCGCCGAATCATGATCATGTATTACTTATATTTATAATAATAATTGTTACGATAATTGTGATGAAATATTGATAATTATTATTTATTCTATTGATATTTAATTAAATAAATATATATACATATATAGTATATTATAATTATACAGTTACACCGCGATTACCCGAAGGAGACAGGCGGGGCGTATTTTTTCTCGGATAACTGATTGTACTGATAACTGATGTAAGTGTTTAAAATACACGGCCGGTTCAGCTCCGAGTCAGCGCATTGGGCACAAACGTGCTCCAAAGCTGCCCGGCGTCCACGTTTCATCCGTAGAAAGCCTTGACAGAACGTGAAAAACGTGTCAGACCTTGATCAGAACGTGAGAAACGTGAGGGACCCCATCAGAACGTGACGGGCCAGGAGGGAACGTACTGGCATTCGTGGTAGACCGCGGGCCGAACCGTAGTGCGCCTTGGAGCCTCCGGGACTCAGCCCCTTCTCCCCCTCCCACGGCCCGTCACGGATACCGTGATAGACCGTGAGAAAACGTGGCAAGACCTGAAACAGACTTGAATACAGAGAAAAAATGGCCAAAATCCCATGGCGCACTACGTTTCGGGCAAACGGGGCTGCCGTGGCCGCCGGGAACATAATGTAAACCTATAGCATATTAACTAGTTCGTTTTATTTATTCTCTGCCACACAGCTCCCATGCTCTTGCATCGTGACTGGTTCCCGCTTTTCAACCGCCTGCCTGCATCTGTCTACGACATGATGGACAAGTACAACAACTGTGACGACATCGTCATGAACGCTGCCGTTAGCAACGCGACGCAGCATCCGGGCATCTGCTTCATTCCGCGGCATCGACACTATTCGAAGATCGATAGCAAAGCCAGGCAGTTCAAGGGAGTGAAACACAAGGAAACGCATATGCTAGACAGGACACGCTGCCTAAACGAGCTCAGCGCCATCTATGGCCACATGCCGCTACGATACAGCTACAATTACGTCACCACTGTATTGAGGAGGGATTACAGTAATTAAAAATGTTATACATACGTATATATACGAATAATGTATACGTTCTGAATCGCAAAACTCCCATAGAAACTGCGACGCACTAAACTTTGTCATAATTCAAATTTCCACCAATTAGAGCAGGTTATTGTACAGGAGACAGTGCTATCAGGCCCTTTACCAGCCTTTTACCGTTTAGCGTATACGAAACGCAAGATGTGAGGTTGTAAGCGCAAACAGGAACACATCTTCTTTAATTATTCTGCGATTGAAAAATGAAAGGAACAAGAAGTTGTTGCTGTATAGCCTGAGGAAGAGAATATATATTCTGGAAACCTCGCAAAAATGAAAAAAAAGATACCTAATTTTCTCTCTCTATCTATCTCTA